AACAATACGTCTTGTTTTATGACCGGAATATCACGTGCGGGTATCAGGTTGACACTGAGATGATCAACCTACTGATCGATTAATCTTTGTAGCACTCTGTTAGGACTTTGGGGAACACGGTCGTTGATAATTTTTTGGCGTTTCAGCTCAATGGAAACTCAAATCTTTGTTTGTCGGAGGTACCCTCTAACTCATTGCAGTAAATCCAGAGTAAGGGGTTATGATCGGAGATGATACTATATTCTCAACCTGGAATTCTGAACATGGAATGTTTTAGGTCGAATGTTCTAATATTTTTGGGGTGGTCTTAAAAACGCGGTGCTTCGGCCTCACTGACCAGCTTCTGACATCCACCAGTGCTACAGTAGTCCAGCATCCAAAGAAACCCAGCTCCTGTTCTGCTCATCTCAGCTGTAGTAACAGCCGAAGTTTTCCAGGCGAAGGAGATGCCACGGGATGGAAAGCCAGTAGTTAAGAAACTAGGATGTGATTTTCGTGAGTGTTTTCTTAGCATCAGTCAGCCTTTGTCTTAGAGTACACCTCAGCCCTTCTGCCAGTCAAGTGTTACCTGCAGAGCAGAAAAGAATTCATAAAGAATGACAAAACTCAACCACCACTATAGCTGTCAGATTCCCAGAATAGTCTCATGCTCCAGTCAGTGATTATATCATCTTTTTAGCTTGGAATCTAGATCTAGCGCAATCCTTATACACACAGCCAAAGAACCCTTAGCCAGACAATTATGCTCAACACTCACTTTTGACATTTAACTTTTGGGGAAATACTTTCAATAAGGGAGAGCAGAACATCGAAATTCCTCAGCGAAAATCACGTGACAGGAGGTCTTTCGGGTGCACCAAATGACCATATGTATCGTCACACAAGATATTTGACCTGGATTTTACTGTGGATTGCAAGACCGAGTATATACTTCCTCTGAAGTTTCAAAATATAGAAAAAATGTACCCACCGTCTGTATGTTGGTAAGTGAAACATGATAAGCGGTAACGTTTATCAGGGGATCGACTGACCGCACATTCTACTCTTGACGGACAGCTCGAACAAAAAAGTGGCTGAGTGAAAGGAGTGTTCGAATGAATTTCGATGCTCGTTTGCAACTCACAACAATTGGACTTTTTATATGGATCTTTGACAGGCCATTTTATTGGAGGAAAATACTCGAATCTCTGGAGTCTCTAAGTTCGTGTTAAGATTTATAAAGTAGGCTGTCCCTGAGTTTCATTAAACTTTGAGTACCGGAAATAGTTAGTGGCCGGTAACTTAAGAACAACAAGTACACCCGATTGTTTTAGTTCCTGTGTCTTTGAACCCAACCGTAAAAGACAACTAAGAAAATTAGTGTAACCAATTTATTCCGGTTTGAACTATTTTGGCTTTATGGAACAACAAAACTCAGGAATTTTTACGTATCACAATACAGAAAACAGCTGATTGCTTTGCATTGATAATATTGCTTGCATTAGCTGTTTCAACTAGGAAAAACGGCATTTTCATTGGTAATAACTACACAAGCGGAAATTTCTTGATATATTCTATCTTGATGGACAAATCGACCCAGAACAGACACACACCAACGTTTATTGGAAGATCGGAGCTCAAATAGTGATTAAGGGCAGTCAAACTGGACGTACAACAAAGCAAGTCAAGCCGCAATCTTAACTATCGACCTCCAGAAAAGTCGTTATTTATTCTTTGTCCACATAACTGA